CAATAACTGCTGGTTCTTCTACTTCCTCAATYACTGAAGTCAACACACTTGTAGGTTGTTCKGATGATGGTTGGTTTGGAGTTATGATCTTCGTGCMTTCCTCAKGGAATTCAYTTATTTTTGATGTCTCAAATTCTTCATCTGACATCTCATCGAAAGCAGGRTTAAATATTCCAATGTCGCTATCRAATTGCGTTGKTTTAGGCTCTTCATACTCTTCAAAATWGAAACGGAAAGGACTTCTTTGAAGAACAGATCTACYTACAGACTCTTGGACAGGAGAAACAACAGGTTTAAAAATAGGTTCTTTTCTTCCAAAATTAAAATCAAAGAGCACTTCATCGGGCAATGATGGTTGCACTGGCTCAGTCTTATGAGGGACACAGCCTATTGGAAATCGGACTTTTCTTTTCACGTTTACAACCAAAATTTCCTCAGTTTCATCGAAAAACTCTTCGTCAGATGACATGGGTTCTTCCAGTTTGGAACGTCTTTTCTCATCTTGATCAGTTTCTTGTTTTGTTTCTGTTTTTTGTGGAGAACCATATTTTTCTTCAGGCTCTGGTTGTTTGTCAATAAAAGTTAATTCGGTTTTTGTTTCTTTTTTTACATCAACGTTTTTAATATCMTCCTTAACATTAGGACCTTCAAAAGTCCTCTTTTTCAATGGTACTTCTGGTATTTCAAAGGAGACATCATACTTTGGCTCTGRACGTTTTCTATGAGAAGCTACTTCGTCACCATGTGAGAACAGAATACTTTTCTTTTCTTGAATATTGAMTGTAGAAATCTCTTCAACAAACTTTTGCTGTTCTGGTTCAGTTTTTTGTGYTGCAATAGGAGAGACATCATTTTCTTTTGAAYAGTCTACTTTTTCCATCGTAGGTTGTYCTGGCATTGATGGAAGCCAGCCTGGAAGTACTGTCTTCTTTACTTTAACTATTGGCATAACATTTGTCTCTTTGCCTGGCTTAATCTTGTTATCGTCKGGAAGTGGGTCTTCACCTGTTTTCAACACTGTACTCGTGGYTGTTATTGTTGCCGGMGTCGTACGCCTTACAAGGCGTTTAGCAGGATTACCATCTTTGTCAACATATTCCTCCACTTCTTCAGGTTGGACCTGCTCATCACTTGGAAGTGGTTC